GGAATATTCATCACCTGCTGGATTACAATCTCCAAAGAGCAGGCCCAAGAAGCGAAAGGTTGGTAATTCTCGTGACAAGTACGATGAAGGTGTCAGGGGCCAAATTCGTAGAATAGATCATAAATTTGTTCGTGACAACATACCACCAACAATAAACACCATATTAGCTGTTGTAAATGTCGAAGAAACTTTGCCCAACTTTTCACGGGCCACGCTACATCGCTTGCTGAGTGATATGGATTTTGTGTTTATAAAACGTGGCAGAAATTCAATTTTGATTGAAAAACCAGAAATCATCTCGTGGTGTCATCGTTATTTACGCGCAATTCGTAAATAGGGTGCAGAAGGATACAACATAGTATATTTGGATGAATCATGGGTAAATATCGGGCACAGTGTGAAAAAAGAATGGGTTGATAAAACAATTACATCTATTCGCGATGCTTTTGTTCGTGGTTTGACAAAAGGATTAAAAGCTCCAACATCTCGTGGTACACGGTTCGTTTTATTACACGCAGGATCTAACCGTGGATTTGTTGATGGAGCAGAGCTCACCTTTTTGGTAAAGAAAAATACTCAGGACTACCACGACGAAATGGATGGACCGACCCTCAAAGATGGTCGAACCGACCCTGGTTCGAAAATAACAATGCTAAATTTGCCAGAAAAAACTGTTGTGGTAATGGACAACCTCCTATCATAGCAGAAAGTCAGAACAAATTCCCAACAGTTCAACACTAAAAAAAAAAACATTCAAGAATGGCTTCTGTTAAAGAACCTATTTTTTGAAGAAGACTACCTAAAATGCGAGTTACTTGATGTAATGAAGGTCTTCAAAGCAAAATATGACAGGTACAATATAATAGAAGATATTGCCAAAAAGCACAATGTGAAGATTCTGAGGCTCCCATCCTATCACTGTGAACTCAATCCCATCGAAATGGTTTGGAGTGAAGGGAAACGGTATATAGCTGGACGCAACGCGAATTTTAAAGAAGCTGAAATGCGAAATTTAATTACAGCAGCGTACGAGGTCATTACGCTAGATAAATGGAAAAACTACGTAAACCACGTAATAGCAACAGAAAAAAAATGTGGGAAATTGACAATTTGTTGGATGATATTGAACCAATTATTATAAATATAAATAACGGAGATAGTGATGACAGTGACGATAATAATGATAATGATGATAGTTAGGCAAAAACTAAATGTGACAGCGATTGACAGAAAAAGAAACTAAATATACTGGTGTACAATTACGATTACTTACACACGAAATTAAATACAATGACTTCTTTTATTTTCAACTTATTTATTAGTTTTATTTTCGGATATTTCTACGTTTTGGTACTGCCAACATATACAGTGCGGTTTTTAAAAGTCCTTCCGCCTTAAATTTTGAACGGAACAATACATAAATAAAATGTTTCTTTATAATTTAGTTGTATTTTATTAGATTTTATTTAAATCTATAAACAAATGGTTTGTATCGCTAGCACATACTGTAGAATTAAAAACAAACTGCTTGTGTGACATAAATAAAAGGCAGTTCTTAATTTCTATATTATTTTAATTTAACCCAAGTATGTTGTAGCAAATATTATTTATGTTTGAGAACCACTGACAGAAGGAAGCCAGGCAGAATCGTTAGTGGACATTAGTACTTAAGCTACCCTCAACACAAAAGATGGATTAGGCTAAGTAGTAAGAAGTGACGTTTATTTTGCACAGAAGTATGGCATTGGGTATACCGACAAAAGGACGCGGAAAAAAGGACGCATAAAAAAGGACGCGGAAAAAAGGACGCGCGAAAAAAGGACGCGTGGAAAAAAGGACGCGTGGAAAAAAGGACGCATATTATTAATGAAATACTATAAATAGTTTATTTTAATTGACAATAGCAATTACCCCCGTTTATCCCCTATATATAATTACAGAAAATGATTCTACCTAACCTAAAATCGGTTACGGTAAAAGTAAAAAGTGAAAAATATTTATATAAAAAAAACTTGTCTTTACACTTTATCCAGGCTTAGGCAGCAGAAGCTGGCGTGTTTACAGGTTTTTTTTAATTTTTTGCTTTTTTTTGGAAATTTTTTGTCATTTTAGTTTTTTTTGTTTTATTTTTGATATTAATTTTTTTTGTATTTTTTTATGTTTGCAACTGAAAATTGTGAGCAATGCCTCTCAAATATTCTAAAGTTGGCCTGTCAGCATAATCGGCAACAATAGCCCTTATCCTGTTTGCTGTATCTTGATATTTTCTTTTGCGTGGAGGTACATTGCCCGAAATGTACTGCTCTATTTTCAAAACATTTAAATCATATTCTTTTTTTAGAGAATTAATAAATTTCCAAATATTCTGATGTGCACTATTGAGAAGAGAAGAAAAGATGTTGTGCCATCCTTCGACAGCAATATTAGTTCGAGGTATATCTTGGTCTGCCAAATCGTAACAATTCCATACATTTGCTGGAAAAAGGAGTTGTCTTCGATTTCTTCTTCTAGCTAATCTCCCTATCCAAGTGTCTTCAAAGTAATTAATCAGCGGAACTAGTAGTTCTTCATTTTGTGTATAAAAATCGCTATTGAGCAACTCCTTGTACACTCTGACTACATGGTTGTCTGGAACAAACGCAAGAGCTGTCAATTGTCTTAGGTGAAGGGCGAAGTCAGGATTCTCAATATATCTACGTTGCAATCCGGCACTTTGAATATGGCGCCAATACACTCCGAGAAATGAAAAAACATCCGCGGATTCTCACATTTGGGAATTCAGTTTGTGCAGCATTCATTGCCGCTCTTTCAAAGTCCATCATTATTGTTAGAGGGCGCAAGCCCGGATTCAACACCTTTAGTTGCTGAAAAACACGTGTATAAGTCTCTTGTGTTTTGTTCGTTCGAAGTGCAAATACAGTTGGGATTACATTACTGTATCGCACTCCATGAATTGTGTATATTTGAGAAAACAATGGTGGTGCTGAGTTAAATGTTCCATCGGCATACCAATGATCGCATTGTTCCATAAATCTTAAATTTCTTTGTGTTGAAAATAACAAAATACGTTCTTCTTCTGGCCCGCTATCAAATAATAGAAATAGCTCACCGCCTGTAGTTGTTTTATATTCTTCAGGAAGCACAAGTTCTTCTAAATTTCTCGGTTTTGCGGGCGTACCTCCTAGCTCGTTCCGAACTCTTTGCACAGTTTTTTTTAACGACGACACTGATGGAAGTTGTGCCGTAGCAGCTAAGGAAAGTCCTTGAGAAATTTCACTTACTACACCTTGGGTGGAGTGTTCCAGTTGTTGTGCAACTTCTTTTATCCGGTTACAAGCTTCTTTTGCTTCAATCTTTGCCGTGTCTGCAACGTGATTATGTTCTGTGGATTTTGTAATTTCATCCACAACGGTATGCACTCTTCCTGTACATTTGCACTTATTATAAGTAGCACACTTTCAAATTGCCTTTTCACCAATCACTCGCTCTTTTTTATGGAGAAATCCATTATAAAGTAACAAGTTGTTGCCTTTTTGGCATTTCACAAACGCTAACACCATCTTAACAGACTAATATCAATTTGTAAAATGTTTTCTTGTTAAGAACAGAATAAATTGCCTACCGCAACAAGTTTCCCCTATATAAACAATTTGGTTAATGATATTTTGTTATATCGGACCTTTTGTAATATTCATTTCTTAAAAACAAATATCAAACAATTAGAAAGTTTTATTTTCTTACTAATCGTTTCTATTTACATTCTTAACATTACCTGCGGAATTTAACAACCTTCCGGTTCGCGTTAAACCCTCATTAGACCCCTTACTGGGCTGGTACTTGGGTTTTTCTAATCCCATACATAATTCTGATACTATGGAATCTAACCTGTTTCAATACCAGAAATCTTGAATCAACATTATATTAGTACTTATTATTTTACTTAAGATATTTTAGTCCTAAGCCTCGATAAAATGTGAGGGCAAATTTTTTTCATATAAATATTTTTCACTTTTTACTCTTACCGTAACCGATTGTAGGTTGGGTAGAATCATTTTCTGTAATAACATATGGGGATAAAAAGGGGGTAATGGCTAATGTCAATTAAAATAAACTATTTATAGTAATTCATTAATAATATGAACCCCCTCTGTGGCTCAGTGGTAAGAGCGCCTGCCTTTAAACCTAAAGGTCATGGGTTCGAATCCCACCTGGGTGGAAATTTTCGTTTATTAAAAAAATTAATAAATGAAAATAATTTCTATCCTTGTGTGATCGGTACACACCGGAGGGACCGCAGACGTTCGGATACAATTAGCGTCTCTTAGCAAAGACAATGACGTCGACTTTTCTAAGTATCAAGACAATTACTCTACACACACACACACACTACACCTCAAATTGTAAGATTGGCGAATGGATTTAGTGTCCGCAGTCATTTAAACACAAACAAACAAACAACAATTAATAATATGCGTCCTTTTTTCCACGCGTCCTTTTTTCGCGCGTCCTTTTTTCGCGCGTCCTTTTTTCCGCGTCCTTTGGTCTCGCGTCCTGTTTTCCGCGTCCTTTTGTCGTAGATTCATGGCATTGATGTTGTGCATTTACCCTGTACAGACAAGTCACTTTGAGACAATCTATAGGATATATAACACATATCTAATAGCAAACATACAACATAATGTCTAATAAAAAAATCAATTAGGTATAATCAAAATTTATGTAATTATATATTTTTACAATCACTGATTTTGAATTATTTATGCATAAAATTAGATATACATTGAATGCCCGGTATTCATAAAAACACATAATACTATTTTGAAATTGATTTTTATGGCATTTGTTTTTGGCGAATATTTTGTTGAAAATATTCCTTTTACAAATTATTTGACGTTACCGTTTCTTGTCTTTTTGGCTTTCAATCTGTAAATCGAAACGAGCAACGTAAATATAATCATTATATTTTTCTCAAGCTATGATACTGCAAGCTGAGTTCTGTTAGTTGCTAAAAATACTTTCCTACTAGACAACTCGATTCAGAAATCTAAAAATAACATGATGCCAGCGACTAGTATTGTCAGGATTATATAAAATAAGGTTAAAAAAGCTTTTTAAAGTGTAAATAAGGTTAAAAAAGCTTTTTAAAGTGTAATTATCTACAAAACGAAATAAGAAAAAATGGTTGACTTCGAAGATATGGCTTACAGAACCAAATGTAGCGAAAGAACTCTACAAACGGAGGTTAAAGGATTTTTTATGGATTTTGTGGAATTAGTCAAAGATCGAGCCGGTAAAACATGGATTCAAAACACTTTTGGCATGCTTAAATCCGACTCTGAAAGAATAAGGAGTATTTATACTTCTGATGAGGTAAATAATTTATCTGTTTCATCATTATTCATAGACAAAGACAAACCTTGAAGACTATGGCGTAAAGTTAGCATTTCCTATCATACCACAACAGTTATTAGAAATCTCGAAAAAGTATAATCTTAAAATTAAAAAAATATTTTTTCCGAAGTCTACTGTTTTACCGTTATTAACTAATATAAGTGGCCTTTTATTACTTATTAATAATGGCCAAGAAATTTTACTAAAAACTTCTTGGCTTAGAATACTCTTGCTAAAACATTAATCTAAAAAATGTTACATTTATTGTATATTGTTTTAATTTATTACCAAAGTATTAGTTATTTATTGAATAAGAGAAGTATTACCTATTTATTGAATAATAATAACTTTGTTACATTCAAATTCAAATCACCTTGTATATGTTAAAATAACGAAAAAGTGTTTTTAATCCTTTTGAATGCTGGAGTTAATAATAAACACGTTTTAAAGTTTGTTTATATATCATAGATGTATATTTCTTCGGTATTCTTTGATCGAGAGCCACTTTAGAATATTCTGCGCGTCAAATAAACAGAAATATTTCGGTTTGTGCTTTGTTTATATCGAGTTGGGTGAATGAATTTTAAATATTACATCACTCTAAGTGAGGCCTCTGTCAAAGGCAGTTGGTTTCGGTGTTGGTCCGAATATTTCTTCAAATTCGTAATGTTTTCGTTTTTCGTACTTTATCATGGAAAAATGTGTGATATAGTAGCAGTGTGAAGTTTTATGTGAAGTAAAGTTAGATTAGGTTTGGAAAGGATTTTATAGAGAGCAGACGTGGTGTGGGTAGTCTGAAGTAACCGTCAAATTTGTTGTAAAAAAAGTGAATTATACTCGACTGTAATGTGTCAGCTTTTATAAGAGTAGTCACTGTTTTGTTTTCATGCCGTCTCTCATCTGAGAGATTTGTAAAACGGCGTTTCCAACAACTTAAAAGGATGCCCACATGGTTCCATTATGTTTTGACCTTTTAAGAAGCCGAGTTTTGAAGATTGCGTCCCAGTAACCAGCTTCCAACCTAATTTTGTTTGTCCCAAGTCATTCCAGGCTATTTCGCAGTGCGAGATGCAGTTTTTTGCGTTGCAATGAATTCGAGTGCTGTTCCAACCCCAGAAATTTTAAAGAAAAAAAAAACATTTTTTTTCCATCAATAATTGCTTTCATGACAAGTTGAGAAATTGTAATAAGTAAAATTGAAACGTTAGGGTGTGGCCTAGCTGTCATATTAATTATTCTCAAAGTTCTAAAATTTAATATTGACATCTGACAGCTAGCTTTATTTTCTTGACAATTGACACATACCTAATCATAATTGAGATCTTGTTTTGTTTTGTTAAAAAAATAACCTCTATGCATAGTTCCATTTAAAAATATATTTTTCATTTTTAATAAGTTATTTCTGCTACAAAATATCGCCTATGAATAATTGTCAGTTCTTATGAGTTTGTAAACCAATAGTAACATAGTAAGTTTGTTTTTTGTTATTTTGTATTAGTATTTATATTTGTAACTATTTGTGGTGAGACAACAATAAAAATCTATTTTTTTTAAAGAGTATTATTTCTTTTAAAAAGTTTCTAACCCTTTTTATATTTTTTAGGAAGAAATAGAGATTTTTATTTTTCTTTCATCCGGCAGAAAGATTCTTCTAAGCGGCGTCCTTATTTGAAATAGTTTAAGAATCTTCTTGTGTTGTGTTTGTTCCAGGAGTTTCATGTAAACACCCCTTTTTGATTCATTTTTGTAGTTACCCCATTCAATCCCAATGTCATTCACTTATCTGCGGCCCAGCTTTCAATAAAAACCTTGAGTAGCCGTTCGCAAACGTTTCGGTTTGTTTAGCTTACCCTATCTCTAGCCCCGTAATTTCTGTCCCCAAATTGCAACCCCCTATAAAGATCCCAATGTGGTAGGCAAAATAATCGTTATATTACAAGGAATCTCGGAAAGTAATATCTAAGTTTAGGTATAGGAATGCTTCATAAAAGTAAAAGTGAAAGAGTGGAATAAATGGTTACCTATTAAAAAAATTCAATATAGGTTCGTACAGTTAAAAAGTATAAGAAAATTATATGAGTAATTAGTATGGCAAGAGATAGGATTTCGAGGCTAGGCGATACTATTCATAAATCCCTACCGGAAGGCGTTGAGACGCTACAAAACAGGAACATACAACCTTCAGAACAGAGACATATCACATTCTTTGATTACTCGTTCTAACTTTTGTGACTGATTACAATGGTTACAGAATAGTAATTTAATTATTTTTAGACCAAAGATGCAGTTATTAGTATATTATCTAACGTCCAAAAAATCTATAGAAAAAAAGATGCTACAGTTTCTCAATTGAAACGATTAGAAGCAGACACAGCCCTCGAAAAGGGAGAGATGAATAAAGCATTGATGCTTTACAGTCAAAGTGTTCTTAGAGCTCCAAAAACTGGTAAGTACGATACAATGTAAGTATATATCACAAAAAAAAATAACAATCATTTATAGTATAATGAGGGTATTAGATTTTTATTTCGATACAGGGCAGCGGCAAGCCGCTTATACGTATTTCAAGCTCTTTAGGTCTCATCAGAGCGGCATATGCCACTGCTCTCAATCGGAACAAAATCTATCCCGTCGTAGGACAATATTTATTGAAATAATTGTACTGAAATACCTGGCCGCTACCCTGTATCGAAATAAAAATCTAATACCGTCATGATGTATTATTTCCTTACTCTGTTTGGAGTACCAGAAACTGAATTCACTACGAATTTTGACCATGATGAACAACATGTGGAATGCATATTTTAGATTCCCTTGCCGACTAATTCATTAATCTGTTTGCTTTACAAATTATAGAAAGCACAGTGGTAAATATTTGAATTCAGATTTGCCAGGTAGGAAATATTATGATTTCTTTTGTTGTATTCAATTATAGATTTTATGAAATTTTACGAGTATTATTCGTACGGACAATGTTCAAATTTTCAAAAACTATTAATAGTTGAGTCTGGTTTTTTAAGATAAATAATTTTAAATTGGTTAAACTATTTTTACTTTTAGCTGAGTAAAATGTATTTATTTATATAGGAAGAATGTTTTTGATATCTTACATATATCAAAATGTCTATCAAGCTACCAAATTCCACTATAGCAGCGAAACTTAAAAATGTTATGTATGAATGATTTGAAATTACTGCCTTGCATCAGAAAACATTTAGATCTACTAAAATCTGGAGAAACTTTGTTAAATGACATTTGTATACACTTCGGACTAGACATGTGTCTAGTCTAGTCCAAGTATTAATATAATCATAGGAAAGAAACCAACTAACATAACTGGGGGCTGCCAGGTATGTGAATGCCAAACAACTTAATATAAGAATCGACATGACTCAGTAGCAAAGATACTTTATCAAGATACAGCTAAAAATCTGGAACTTCCGATACCAATCATATCTCTTATCATTATTATGTCCCTGACATTATGTTTGAGAATGACGATTATGAGAATGACAAATACAAAATATAATAAGATAGTACTGTACCCACAGACCAACATGGTGAGATATTCGTACAACATAAATAACCCGAGTTGATGTTAAGCTGTTATATCCAACCTCAAAAAAATCATTACTTTCGAGTATCAATTTCAATTTTTAAAATAAATATCAGACAATAGTATAAGGTAAGTAGATAACGTTTTATTACATAAAAATGCCGAATATTGTTTTATTTAGCAAATATGATGCACTAAAATTTGTATATTGCAGAAATACAACACTATTATATGCATTTACCGCTTATTTTTTACCACATACTGTTTCATTACATCTACCATTTTAGCAATACTTATTAGTTTCAGTCACAGCAAGTAAAAAGTATTTAGCCCAAAAATAATTGAAGGATATTGTCGACAATTGGAGCGATATTAGTGACGTTGGTCTAGACTTCTCAGATACAGATAGTCTGAATGACCCAAAATATCTACCAGAACTAGAACAGGAAGATGAAGAAAATCTTATTGAATATATTGGCGAACAAGGCAAATTCCGAATTATGCAAAAACAACTAAATTGAACATTATTTGGAAAAAGAAAAACCTACTGTTGAGTGATGCACAGAAAGCTTTTCGTGTTACTGAGTCATTATCTTCCGAATTTCTCGCGATCAGTACAGCCTATGAATGTTTTTTATACTTTTTTACAAACGACTAATGATAATATAATAAACCAGTAATGCTTATATGCACAACAAATTTATATTACCAAACCTTTAATTCCTACTAAAACTGAAGTTTAAAAGTATTATCATTTTATGGAATAATTATTATGATGTCTAATGTCCGTCTTCCTAACACACAATTCTACTGAAATAGTGATGTTGGTCTAGAAATTATAAAAACACAATGACGCTAAATAGATAATCCAAATCATGATAGGATCCATAACCTTAGACAGACCAGTTTATGGATTCCTAAAATGTGTATTTTAAATCTGACTCGGTATAATATATTACATATTAATCTTCATAAATAATCTAGGTGATATTATTGCTACACAAACTCAGCCCCATAACCAGACTTATTTCATTACTATATTAAACGCATGATGTTTGATGTATATATTAAACAATATTTTTGGGAAATATTTCCAAGATATATTTTTTTTTTTTTTATTAGAAACAGATGTCGCATCCACCAAAAGGTTATTAGCGACGGAACAAAATATAAAAAACAAAGTTAAACACCTACAGATTGTACAAAATGTTTATGGATCTAAGATTATTCATTATATTGTTACAGGAACAGTTTTGACCTAGAGCCTTTAGTAGAACGTTTGGGATCCTGTAGCGCTGTCTTTCTTGGTCATATTTACTACAAATTGTTAAAAAATGTTCGACTGTTAATCGGACGTTACACTGATCACATATAGGTGGATTTTTCTTTGTAAAAAGGTAGGAGTACGTTAATCTGGTATGTCCTAGGCGTAAACGCTCAACCGCAATTTGTTCTCGTCTATTGAGCGACGATGGAAACCACTGAGACACATTATTTTTGATTTTATTTAGATTGGAATTAGTTTGAGACCACTCATTTTGCCACAAACACCACACTTTATTTTTAAAATAAGCTTCTAAGTCACAAAAAACATACTTGTCTATCGGCTGTGACAAATCACTTAAAATTGCCTCTCGTGCAGTCCTGTCAGCTTCTTCATTTCTTGTTATTCCAACGTTTGAGGGAACCCATAAAAATTGGACGCTTCTTCCATGTTCATAAGAAATAATAATATCTGGAGAATATTTAGATAAAAGAAGCTGTAGCATAGGGAGACGATGAAAAAATCCATCAATGTTCCATTGAAGTATCGAGTTGAATGTTGTTAACAGATTCGGAGTTAGATGATACTGAACAATTGTCTACAGAAGAGTCACTATCTAAGTCAGAAATCTTTCTCTCTAAATGGTTGTATAGTTTCTTTTGAAGTTTTGTAAACTTGCTTTTTGTAGATCTATCATTTGCATATTGATAGCTGCTTTGTAATAGATGGAGTAAACCACAGATATCAGTTGTAAATTCTTTGACGACGCTAATAGCGTCGGAGGAGCCTTGGACATTATCAATCAGTAAGGACAATTGGTGGTAATTTAAAACGAATGGTGGGGTATGATTATCAATGAAATTTTTGAGAGTTTCCCGTGTAGATGGGACTTTATATGAGCGCGGTTTTTTTGGTTTAGAGGGTTTGGGTTTTGCAAACAGATTTTCTGATGAAATTACTGAGTCTGAAGGAGGCGTGACGATCTCACCAATACTGCGTTTTATGGAAGAACTTGTGTTTTCGGAATTGTTATTAGAGTTTTCATTTAGATGCTGTGGCTTTATTACATTTGGAAGTACTGGAGCAAACTCCTTGGTAGTGACAGAACTCGAGCTTGAAATTTTATTTGTAAGATTGGTTGAAATGGTTGTTTCAGAAAATTGTCTTGTTGTATCAGTTTTATTAGAATTTTCTGCAGTTGTATCTAATGAAAAAGGAGCTGATAGATTGGAGGATTTTGCTTCCGAAGTTTGTGAAAACGGTATTGCTACTGAATGAGGTTGATTGAAAGTGTTGTTAAGAGTAGGAGCGTTAGTAATTTCTTTGTCATGGAGATTTGTAGGTGTAGGTGATATGCTTGGATTTGATGATGGATAACTTGATGACTGCTGGGTGTTTGGTACCTTGTGTAGTATACTTGTTGAAGCTGTTTGATTTGGTACTTCATTGTTTGACTCAATATGAGTTGATTCCGTTACCGAACTGTTTTTGCATTGGGATGATATGTGCCCTGTATTTTTGCAAATAAAGCAGGTGAGTGTACCTTGTGACAAAAATATGCGGTAAGGTGTTTGGTCGAAATTTATTAGAATAGAGTCTGGAATTGGTGATGTTATAGGGCTTATATAAACTTGCCTCCGAAAGCTCAATATGTGACTATATTCGGGAAGAGTCGAGCTAATTTTCAGAAATGTTATTGGAGAAATAAGCTTTAAACCGATATTCTCTAATTCTTCAACTAATACTTGATGAGGAATTGACGGGCAGACTCCAGACAAGACTAGTCTTTCTGCTGGAGAGACAAGTCTTCTTGCTGTTACTACTTCGCCTAGTACTTCTATAGAGCCATATTGTGTCATGAAGTTATCTACTACGGTCTTGTTTGCCAAATACATGCAGATTCTATTATGAGATAATCTAGATGAAAAAATAATATTTTTTGGGTTGATGATTATGCCCAAAGGAATGAGATAATCCTGCAGTTTAGCATTATCGATACAACTAAATACAATTGCTTGGTTCTTACTCGGAAAATATTGTGAAGCGGCTGAAGCATAACTGTTTGTGATATTCGAACGTTGATTTACTGGACTGGTTAGATCGGAAGGTGTGTTTACATTGTATGAAGTCATTTTGAGGTGCGGTGGCGAAGGCCTTACTCCGACTCTGGTAAGTGAAAAACCAGTCGCATGCTAGTATAAGCTACTTATAGCAGCTAACCTCACAAAATGATTGTATGGTAGTTTATATTTATTATTTGACTTTTTCTTTTCACAATAATAAAATAATAATTACGTATAGATGACTTACGTAGTAGTATCTAGTAGATAAACACTTTAATTTTAAAAAACTGTTTAATAAAACCACTTGTTTTTATTAAAAACTAGGAGTACAATATCAATACACTTAACCGTACCTTGCCAGGGCCGGTCTCCGATATATTTTTTGAAATAGGTACCACTTAACTTGAAATCCCTGCCACTTTACTCTCCCATCATTAACATGTCTTTCTTTTTGGTTCTTTGTCCTGCATTTGATTATCTATAGTTCTTTTCGGTAATATCTTATAAACAATCCTCACTTCATGACAAGCCAATCGATGTCTCTGGAGTCTAAGTGCATAGTTAGTAAACTTCACGATTTTAATATCTATATCTCCATAACTAATGTTCTGTGATCGGTCCAAAGATCTTCTTTGGAATTTTTCTCCCGAACAATTCTAATTTTATTCTTGTGTTTCCTGTTATTGCCAATGTCTGACATCCATAACATACCATGGATCTAATAATGGTTTCATGGATCTTACTTTTCGATTTCCGATGTAGTTTCCGTTGGTTTTGGAGTGAACTGACCAGTCAGCGACAGATATACCCTAATCATCAAAATCCTCAGCTACTGGACAATTCGCTATGGTACCAGCAAGATGAAACACCACCGCATTCACAGACGAATATTTTTAGAGTTGCTCTAGATCTCCTGATCTGCCCCCACTAGATTTTTTCTTATGAGGATACCTTAAGTCTAAAGTTTACGTCTTATATTTATGACCTTAAAGAGAGAATTAGGACCAAAATTATTTTAATTATTGCTGATATCCTTAATCATGTTTTGCAAGAGTTTTAAGATTGTCTTGTATATTGTTAAGAGGCAAATAGTTTGCAATTTGAGCATTTATTTTAATAGTTTTTAGGTTTATTTATCCTGATTATATTTCTATACATGCAACTACACGTCGCATAAGATTAGTATAGACAGCGTTTGGTAAATTAAACTATGTATTTAAATCGGATCTACCCATATGCCTCAAAAGGAAAATTTCTGACCAATGTGTGTTAGCTGTACTAACTTATGGAGCGGAAACATTAACACTCACAAAAAAGGTAGTTAATAAGATTCGCATGAATCAGATGGCTATGAAGCGCCAGATGTTAGATTTCTCTCTGAGGGACCGAATCCCAAACGATTAGGGCAGGACACGTCGCCAGATTATCAAACAACCGATAGACAAAACGTATTTTAGAGTGGAGACCAAGGCAAGAAGCAATACGGAGCGGAGGACGCCCACCAACTAGATGGACTGACGACCTGAAGCGTGTTAGCAATAACTCGATGCAAGCCGCACAAGACAGAAACAGACGGGAAGAGCTGAGGGAGACCTATGTCCAGCAGTGTACGCATACAGGTTGATGATAATGATATTTCTATAAATTACGTTTAGATATGAGTAATATATGTGACATAAGAAAAAATAGGACAATTGTGTACAAAAAGATGCGCTTTGTTCGATAATAGTATCAAAATAAGGTATAAACATTTAAAAAACAATAATGACATCATAACTCGAACAGTGATGACGTCATCAAAAATATAAGTTCGAATATAAATAAATAAAACGAAGTGTCTGAGCTTTTTTTTATCCAATGGCTAAATCAAGCGTTTTCACGAATTTATTGCAACCTTTACGTGCTTACTGTATGAGTACAACTATGTCGACCAGTGGACCAAATACCTAATATTTACTTAAAGGCCATGAGTGCAATACGCAAGTGTTAACACATAATATCTATTTAAATGAAGATGAACAGACGATCACCGCAGAAGTCAGTAAAACACTAGGCCGGTTAAAACACAGAAAGTCTCCAGGACTAGATAAAATACCTAATGAACTGATAAAATATGGTGGAGTGGCATTGGAAATTACAAAATTCAATTCAATTCAATTCAATCACAAATAAACCAGCTTCCTGTGTTTCGTAGACCTACGTAAAGCCTATAATATAATTCAACTGGAGGATGCTATCCAATTAATGCATAACAGGGAAATTCCGCAGAACTTAATCAGAACAACTGAAGACATTTACAGATAAAATACAATTAAAGCGCGAGTAAATGTAGGATTTACAGTGCCAAGTAAAGTACACAGTGATCAGACTCCACACATACAGAAGGTGATTCACTAAGCCCATTACTAAGTGATGGATTCGATCGTTACTTGAGGGAAATTCATTTTGTATAACAATCAGACACTGAAAACTTTGTTTTTAAAACTTCCACAAAATTTATTATAATATTTTATCACTACAGCTGTTTCGGCAGAGTGTCTTTCTTAATTTGAAACTTAAGAAAGGCACTCTGCCAAAACAGCTGTAGTGATAAAATATAATAATTGGGGAATTGTGGAAGTGTTGAAAACAAAGTTTTCAAAACAAAAGTTTTTATTTTATCGTTATAAGCCCATTACTATTTAACATCATTATAGATGAGGTAATAATGGAAGTGCGCAAAGGGAAAATATGTAAAATGGGGAATCTCTCTCTCTTGTCGTTTCCGCATTACTGAAGATTGAATTTGTTCCAATATTCCTAACAATTTTTCTCCAGACATATTGTGGACAGACTTTTTTATTCTAGAGTTTTTATTTACCAGTTTTATCTTGATATTTTGAGAGATAGGATCTGTCTTTCCAAACTTTATTTAGGCGACTCATCGCATTTTTTGCTATAGCAATACGTCTCCGAACTTCTGCTTCACAGTTACCATCGTTAATTATTCGAGACCCGCGATATCCACTGTCCACTATTTGGTATTCCTGTAACATATTAGTCAGTTTAATAGTGTGGAATCTGTCAACCATTATTATTTTGTCTTAGTTTTATTGATTTTCGAACCAACGTTATTGCTTTCGTACTCAACTCTTCGCAGGAGCTTTCAGGAAATTTTTTGCTGATATAAGTGTAGTGTCATCAGCAAATCTTAAATTGAAGATTTTCCTACCAGCCACTATTATTCCACTGACCCATTCATTTAAAGCCATTTATGGTAAAATGTTTACCATAAATGTTGAATAAGGTAGATAACAATAAGCATCCTTGTCTAACACCTCTATCGATCTTGAATTGGTTTAAAAACTTCTGGGAATGCATAAGTGAAAATCCTATATTATGAAAATGAAAACGATCTTTAGAGGTTCTTGCATAGTTTAAACACAAAAGCGTAAAGTCTGAATATGACAACTAAAAACATAAAATGCATGACCATCTTTAAAGAACTGATACGATGTAAATTGGAAGTTGATGGGAAAGTGATAGAATAAACAATGAGTTTTAATTATCTAGGGCTAGAGATATAAAGCTTAAGCGACACGGAAAATGCAATAAGACTCCAAGCTGCAAAAGCAGGCTATGTAAATTACATTACATGGATAAATAAACATCTCGATATGGATATGAGAACTAGGGTGCACAAGATAACAATACGCCCTAACATGACATACACTGCAGAAAAAGAACCTAGCACAAGTAGAATATAACGAATAATGGAAATAATAGAGATGGAAATAATAAGAAGGATAGTTGACAAAACTTTATATGATAGAGAAAGAAGTGAAGACAGTCGAAGACAGTGCAAAACAGATCCAGTTAATACATGGATATACAAAAAGGAGAAGAAGATTTCGAAAATCGAAAAGGCATCTTAAGAAGAATCAAGAAAAGAAGAAAAAATATCAGAGGTATTGGAGAATAATCTAAGGAGAGATCAAATCAAGACTTTGGACTTAAGTTAAATTTAGCTACTTGGTCCGAAGTCCACTAAATCAGGCACTTTATTTTTGACAGTAGGCCAGTAGGTTCTCATATTGAACCATCATACTAAGATTTTTATCAATTATGGTTATCAATTTAAAGATGATGTTGAACTTTTTTTATCTTATTTTTAATTACATCCATGTTTACAACTTTTTTGCTTTAAAAAAATGCTGAATATTTGAACTTTTATTATTTCTGATTATATTTTGTTGTTTTTCTTGATAAATAATAATAATAATAATATTTTAGGCCAATGTAACAGTTTCGACTCAGGTCTCTCGTTATCTCTTGCCCTATGGGGGAGATCTAAAGTATTAATGGTCATGAAAGAGTATTCATTAGCTTTAAATGATATTCAACAAGCTGTAAAAGAACATCTTCCGAATGTGTTTAAAGCCGAAGCTTATTGGAAGATGGCTGTGTGTTATAAAGCATTAAACGAGGGGCAGAAAGCTAAGGTCGCTTTTGAATTAGCCGAAAGATTAATGGACAGCAAGGAAAAAAAAGAACAGCTACAACAAGATAGAGAAACTGAATTTAGGAGCATTAATAAGGGAACAAAAAAAGGTATATGTAAATTTTTTTACAATTTCATAAACTATAGCATATTTTAACATTTAAATATTTATGTTCTTAAATAAACTGAAGCCCCGTTCTCGTTTAAAATATCTATTTAAAGCATATTTCATACGTCTATGCTTATTATTTGACCTGTTTTCTGGTTACGAAAATATAATGATGTACCAAGGCATAGTATAATAATTGTTGTCTATACTGTGACCAAGGTTTCATCAATGGCTATGAAGTTGTGTTATGACAAACTTTGTTGTTGTTGTTGTTTACTCGTGAACTAAGTCGATATATCAACGTATCTTGCAATGAACAATAAGTGATCACATTTTCAAATTTAACTGTTAAGTTTTGGTGGTGGCTGCGTGAATTGTTTGGTGATAAAGAAGCATTTAGTTTTCGTGAATTTACGGTGTCAGGTAAATTTTAAATTTCTTGTAGCTATAAAGAAAGAATGTTGCCCTAGGCCTTAACGGCCTGTTGTGCGTAAAGATAAAAAAAATAAAATAAAGAAAGGATTATTTACAGCAATATACTGTAGTAGTACTGTGATTAGGGTAGATGCGGTTGATGTTTCAACAGGGTTACCGGTTCGCAAAAAATTTCTGGAAACCCAATACTTCCGATAAAGTTTTAAAAGTTTTAATCATATATATATATATATATATATATATATATATATATATATATAGTGTAGGAAAAAGTTTATGGTCGGTATGGACCTTACGTGAGAAACAGCTGTTTAGAAAGAGAGAGGTATATTAGGTCCCCCCTTTATATCACCAAACATGCATGCCTGGAAAGGGGAAGTTCAACGTTGCCAAACTTATTGGATTTATTTGACCTGGTGTTTTTTTTGCATTTGAACAATGTTCTAAGATAATCCAATTTGGGCGAAATTGATTTAAATGGCAGCTTACTGTTTTTTTTTTATTGGGAATAATATGCCACAAGTTTACTTTACAATAAGTGTAATATAACATTTTGATTTCCACTTCGGAAATCGTTTTATATAAATAAAATTTATTAATAGTGCTTATTCTCAATATGAAATAATAAACTGCATACAATAACGCCACATTAGAAAATATTCATACACAATAATTATTTGGCAACGTGTCCGTCTGGTCTGGTCTGGTTTGGCCGACCGAATAACAAGTAGTAGAGGTGGGTCCTGGTAGTTTTATCGTTAAGAGCGTAGGCACAAAATTCCGTTCCAATATTTTTTAAATGCATTAATTTTTTGCGAATCCTGAGAAAACTAATAAATATTTTTGAAAAATTTAACCGCAGAATGAAAGAATACATTGTTACCGAGGGCCGAAAGTCCCTGAAAACTTCTATAATGTTTATTTTAATAAGTTATAGGGGTGAAAAAAAATTAGTGTGATTTTTAATTTCAAATATCTCATTCAAAAACCTTTTTGTTTATTCTAAGGGACTTTCGGCCCTCGGTAATAATGTAATCTTTTATTCTGCATTTAAATTTTTCAAAAATATTTGTTAGTTTTCTCAGGATTCCAAAAAAATGAATGCATTTAAAAATTTAAATTTTTGTAAACAAGTAACTATGATTGTTTAAAAGTAGTTTTAAGTAAGAGAGTACCTACATAAACAAACATAATGGCTATTATCGTTTATGTGTATATTTATTAAAGTGAAAAAAAGTAATGATTTATTTATTATAACTTGAAAAATAAACTAAACAATACAAATAGTAACTCGTACTTACATTTACATTACACGTTATTATTAAATCTTTATACATATATATATATATATATATATATATATATATATATATATATATATATATTAAAAATCTTTATATATATATTAAATAAGTTTTTCAACTTTACTTCTTATTAACCGTCTTCTTTTTTTATTTCAAATTAAACCAGATTTTAAACATGTGTTCACATTTACAATACTAATAGTGGTTAAGTTAGGATATACATGGCGATGGTTTTTCCACCGTTGTAATGGACTCTCGATTCAGGTGTACGTGTAGATGAGCCATCTCCAATTAATTAATCAAAAATACACCATGGATTTAAGTCATCTTTATTGGTTTCTTTTTCTTGTACTGGTTGATTTTCAATAGTAAAATCTTCTTGTTCGTTAATTATAGAAGTAACCAGCTTCTTAACTTTTTCTTTAATTTTTTAATCTTCATTTTTATCAGAAAAACCCTGCACTTTAAATGGTGAATCCATAAATATACATAATAACAATGTGCCACTCTGTTCTATCCCTTTAAATCTTTTTGCTAAACCCGATATTAGTAATTGTACTACGTCGGATACTACGTCGGATACCTTATTGCTAAATTTACCGTTTGCTAAAATTTTATTGCAAGATTCTTGCAGGCAACGTACCATAACAATCACTGAACTACCCTGCAAGTATTTTTGGTCACTCATTGTAGGTACTTGTTATTTCTTTAAACGGCCGTAAAATTTGGGAAAGCTGAGAACAAATAATCCAGTGTTATTTATTTAGATTTGGTCTAAGTCTAAGTCTGTATTATTTAATACCGATGTGGAACCGATTGCCTCTTCTAACTCGGTCATTTTTTTTAACATGTAGTAGGTGAAGTTCTACCTAATTTCCATGTCTTGGATTGGCCGTTTGGGAACTTTGTTATGTTGTAATTAATACTTTAAAAGCCTTTCTGAAGATAAGGTACTTTTTTTAAATGTGTTTTTTGCAGAATTGTCGAAAATAGGACTTTTTATTTTATCTATTATCAAATCGTTTTATCATAACATTCCTGAAGTAATGAACCTGACAGTTTTTCTTGTTGGCAGTTTATATCCAGGAATCCACCCTGCAAACTTTTTAAAAGCTGGTTCTTCACCTATGGAAAACGGATGAAACGAGTATTTGCATAATTTTAGTAAATCTTGAAAATCAACCAGTACAAGAAAAAGAAACTGATAAAGATGACTTAAGTCCATGGTGTATTTTTGATGAATTAATTGGACGTGACTCATCTAAACATACACCTGTATCGAGAGATATAAAAGAAGTCGACATGTATTTGTCTGATGATATATTACCCACAAAAAATTTCGAACGGAGATTGGAACTGTCCATTACCGTGGTGGAAAAACCATCGTCATGTATATCCTAACTTAACTACTATATTCATAAAATATTGTAGTATTGTAACGAAATCTTTTCCTTGTGAACCCATGTTTAAAATCTGGTTTAGTTTTAAATAAAAGAAGAACACGGTTAACAAGAAAAGTGGAAAAACTTGTTTTTAAATGTCAATTTAGACGATTCGCGATTTAATAATGTGTAATGTAAATGTAAGTACTATTTGTATTGTTTAATTTATTTTTCAAGTTATAAGAAATATATCCTTCGTTAGGTTCTTTCACTTCAATACTTATACACATAAATGATAATAGCCAATATGTTTGTGTACTCGCTAATTTGAATACTGGTAAACAATCAACTAGTTACAGTTTACGAAAAACGGTTCCGATATAAATTTAAAAAACGAGAGGATCCACCAATTTTTTTTTAGGTATATTAGGATCGGAACCAGAGAATATGTAAAATATCTCTGATCGGAACTATTCGTCTCACGAATGAGCAATGAGTGTTAAAAATATTTATGGAGGGGAGACCAATGGGAAATATGATTGTTATCTTTGTCTATTCGCTGAAAATATGATTGTATATCTGCGTTAGATATCCTGTTAAATTTTACCATACCGACCATAAACTTTTACCTACACTGTATATATATATATATATATATATATATATATATATATATATATATATATATATATATATATATATATATATATATATAAAAACTATTGTAGAAAAGGCAATTTTCTACAGCTAGAATTAGAAACGCATTTCATAATGTTACGCCACAAATGCTTGCAAACGTCCGTAGATCATTTGAAAATCATCTTCAAGCTTGTGTTGATGTTATGGGAGCTCACTTAAAACACCTTCTACAATAAAAATAACAATTTCTTTGTTAAATTTTTTAATTTTTTTTGTGAGTTTCTTTAAGGTATCTCTAATGAAAATAAAATGATTAAGGTATTATGAAAGAACATATAAATTTCTCACTGATTTTAAAGTATGTACTTTAAGGTACATATTTTAAGAACATAAATGTTAAATTCAATTTAATATTTATTTTTTAGACAATTTTATACTCACTATAATACAATATGTTTTAGGCAATACTATACCTCACTGTGTGTCAAATAAACTTACCGTTAAAAGCGATAAGGAATTAGGACGGTTTGTGGTTGCAAATAAAGAAATTCAAACTGGAGAAACGTTAGTTGTAGAAACTCCTTACGCAGCTTGCTTATTACCAGACAAGTTTGGCACCCACTGCCATCATTGTTTGAACAGGTAAATTACGTTTATTTAAAGAATATTTAGATAAGGGAAATGCAAGTTCCGTATTAAACTTCTGCGTACACAATTTCACTTTCTCTATGTAAGAGTGGAATTATTTTTTTATATTTTCTTAGCATATTAAGTAATTTCCAGAACGCAGATTTATTTGGGTTTAGTTGCTGGATATAGTTGTCCCAATTTTCTTCTCGATGTTCTTTTAATTGTTTTTGACTTCCCTATTTAGCTCATTAGCAATTCTTTTTTTCTCTTGGTTTCTTGTTCCGTTGGATCTTCTTCTTTTTCTGTTTTTTCCTTTAAAAGTTCTTTCAGCTCGTTGCTGATTTCTCTGAATCTTCCCCTAACTGTTGGTGTTTCTTTTTCTGTAGTGCTGGCCTCGATAGCATTTTGTATTGGTTTTTCTAGGTTAAGAACAGATTTCTCTAGTTCTTGTTTTGTGTTTATTGATTTTAATGCACCGATAACTTCGTTTACTACTCTTTTGTAGTTTAACCAATGTATCCGTTTTTTCTTGTAGGTTTGCAAGCAATTTCTTTCTATTACTCCCAGGATCTATACAATTGGGTTGTGATTTGATCTACCCTTTTTCATTGAATATATTTCGTGTTGTTGACCCATTTTTGTAGAGTTTCTATGCCCAGAAATGTAGAGAGTCTGTCTTCACTATGGAAGTATGTAGGTTTTGTGGGTGCTATCACTATGGTGTTTGGTCTGTCTGATTTATGTTTTTTTTACCATTTATTTTATTAACGTCAGTTATGTACAGTATTTTTGTCTAATTGACGTGAATTTATATTTGTGTTAGCATTTAATTTATCAGTATTCGAATTTAAATCTAAATTTGGGTCTGATGGGCCTAGATTATCTGTGACAGACCCTGTACAATCTGAATTTGAATTTAAATCATCACTATCAAAAATATTAACCTCTGGCAATGTCCTCATTTTATAGTGTACTGTATCGTCAAAAGTACTGGAATGGGTCGAAATAGACAGCAAGGACACATAAAAGACAAAAAAGGAGTACTATTAATAGATTTACTAGAGCAATTACGACGATGGGAGGAGTACGTTAGAGAACTTTTTCAAGATAAAAGAGGTGAAATACAGAATATACAAGAATTAAATCTTTAGAGAGACACAAGATCACAATATATGAAATCAAATCTGCTATCAAAAACTCTAAAGACAATAAGGCAATTGGATTAGATGAAATACCAGTAGAACTGTTAAAACTAGTGGAAGAGGATAACTTGGAAGTATTGGCAGATTTATTCAACACGGTGTACGATACGGGAATAATACCACAAGAGTGGCTGAAGTCATCATTTATAACCATTCCTAAAAAACAAGCAGCAAGAGTGCTCTGATTATCGAACACAGCCTCATGAGTCATACGTTAAAAGTACTGCTGAAAGTAATACATAAGAGAATATACGAAAGGCTAGAGGAGGATATTAGCGAGACGCAGTTCGGGTTCCGAAATGGAATGGGTACTCGAGAAGGACTATTTGCCATCAACATATTGATTCAGCGATGTCGGGATGTAAACGTTGATCTACACTTGTGCTTCGTTTACTACGAAAAAGCTTTCGATAAAGTAAGACATGAAAAACTAATATCAATACTTATGAACAAGCGCATTGACAGTAAAATCATAAATATAGTGCAAACATTATATTGGAATCAAAGTGCCACAGTTCAAAATGGGAAACACTCATAAGAAATGAAAATCTGTAGAAGAGTTAGACAGGGATGTGTTTTATCGCCACTTTTGTTTAACTTATATTCTGATGAAATTTTCCAAAACACGCTCAATAATATCGAAACGGTAGTCACCGTTAACGGAAAATTAATTAACAACTTACGATATGCAGATGACACTGTGATCTTAGTAACGAGTATAGAGGATCTACATCTTATCGAAAGCTTGAGTATGAATAGTGCTGAGATGGGAATTACTATAAACGCTAAAAAACGAAGTACATGCTAATTACAAAAAGACCATAAAATATACATCACCTATTGACAATCAATGGTAAAGTGATAGAACAAGTAGAAAAATATTAGTAGGTACTTGGGAACTTTGATCAATGAAACCAATGATCATTCTGTAGAAATAAACAGGCTAATAGAGATTGCCAGATCAGCATATATACTGATAATTTGGAGATCAGAGAATAAGAGCTGAGACTTGGACATTAAAAAAATGCAATTTACAAAGAATCGAGGCTTTCGAACTCTGGTTATACCGCAGAGTATTAAAAATATCATGGACTGATAGAATTACAAATTAAGAAATACTGGAGAGGGTTGGTAAAGAAACAGAACTAATCACCACTATACAAACCACAAAACTGGAATACCTAGACCACGTGATGAGGGGTCCAAAATATGAAATTTTGAGACTAATTTAATACAGGGAAAGATTCAAGGAAGAAGATCTGTTGGCCGAAGGCAAAACTCATGGTTAAAGAATCTACGTGTTTGGTATCAATGCGGATCGATTGATTTGTTTAGTGCAGCAAGTTCTAAAATAAAAATAGCTATTATGATTGCCAACCTCCGCAAGGAGACGGCACTCTAAGAAGAAGAAGAAGTATCGTCAAATTCACTCACATTGCTGGTCATCTGGAGTTCATGCGCTTCTTCTATTGACACACAGGCCCTATATGTGTTGTTTTTGGATATTGCCCACTACTATTTTATTAACTGTTAACCATACATAAAATTTAATTTTAATAATTTAATTTTAATTCTAATTTCATCTGAAGTTTAACGCACTAAAATTCGTTAAAAAACCGTTTATCACTTCTTTAACAAATCGGCACCAAATATCTGTAAATAATCCTTAATATTTGGGAGCTACGTTATAATTCGCCTCGCGACAACTACAATGATCACAGCAGAAATAAAACAATGTTTTTTGACTTTAAGCGTTAAACAAGCTTTTTGGGAAGAATTTGTGAGACTAGCCAAATAGTCTCAGAAAACAAGCAGTAATTAGCTCAAAATCATAACAGGTGTTCTTGCTGAACACACGATAGTGTCAAGGGACTCGCATACAATGAGGCTATTTCATGGAGATAGTTGAAAGAAGGGAAGTGCAATGCTCAAAGATCTTTCGCTTTAAATTACGATATATTGCTTAGTGATCGTTATACTCAAATATCATAAACCGTCTCTGTGATTTCTACTGTCTATTCCACTATCTACTAGGATATGTGCTTTAAACTCTACATTTGAGTTCATTAAATATAAAACAAAAAAAATATGTGGAAGGAACTGAAATGCAGAGTGGTAGAAAAAATAATATCTGTACATTGAAAGCAGCGTCTTTAACATAATAACATAAGTCTTTAACATAATTATTATAAAAACTTAAAAATATAGAAAATGCAGTATATTATTATCTAACATACAAATTTAATAATCTCAAATTCTAATCCCTATAGGTATCTACCTATATGGATTCTATCTAAAACATACCCTGTTAGTAATAAAGCTCTAATTGTTTGTTACTTTTAAAGATTACAAGCTCCAATCGGTTGTTCAGACTGCTCCAACGTAGCCTTCTGCAAGCCTGCCTGTAGAGATGTAGCACTTTCTTCCTACCATTCTTATGAATGCAAATATTTAGACCTTCTTATTGGTTCAGGTATGAGTATTTTGGCACATACAGCTTTAAGAATGGTAACACAACAAAAGTTGGAAAGTTGTTTGGAAATTTATAAGAATAAATCAGAGGAGAAAGTTTTCAGTTTATGTACCAATAGTGATAAAAGAGATAGCGATGATTTTTTTCAGAGAACTCTTATGGCTGCGTTTTTACTCAGATGTCTTCAGAAATGTGGGTATTTCGGTGCTCAAAATGATAGTGGTAAGTTAAAAAGTATTGCTAAGACTTTTTTAAAAGGCGTGCTTAAAGTAGGAAAGAAAATGATAATATTAGTTTATTTAAAAAGCACCGCTGCTACTTAAGAATTGCAGATTACTATAAAGCGATGAGAACATAATACTTTTGGTTAGTCTGATTAGCTTTATTGTCATCTTTAGTAGGTGGTCATTGATGTGGATAGTGCATCCTTCGAAACCCGAGCACTATCCACATCATTGATGTGGATAGTGCTCGGGTTTGGAAGTCTTCCATAAAGATATTGGCAATTACTGGAGATAGTGAGGCACCATTTATTTGTCTATAAAATTGATGAGAATATTTAGAGTTTCGTCTATAGAAATGTGTCTAAAGAGTACGACTCACAAAAAAGGCTTTTTATTTACTAATTTCTCTGGTCTGATAGTAAGTCAAAGCGTCCATTTTACTGCAACGCTATGGGTGTGCATCTTTCTTTCTTTTTTATTGCTGGTGTGTTACACTATTCAAATTATATATTATATCGGTTATAACACCGATTTTCTAACTACAAAAGATCATTATATGTGTTTTACATAATATTTCATTTACTTTTAGGATTACCAACAGAAGATGAACTTAAAGTAGGAGAATTTTTACTATTTAGTTTGCAAATGTTACAGTTCAATGCACACGAAATATTTGAACAAGTAACTGTACAAGATTATAGTATAAAAGGTTCTAAATTATCTTACATTGGAATCGGTATCTATCCTACAGTAGCTTTTTTTAACCATGATTGTTACCCTGCTGTTACAAGGTAAGATTTTGTTAGTGCCCTCACATGGATATGTGTCAATTGTTCTTTAATTTTAATACAATATTTAAAAAAAATGGACGATTATTCTTAATTTTACTATCAAGGGTTAAATGTTTTTAATTTAATAAATAATATTGTTATTATTGTTATATCAGACATACTGTTATAAGATAGGTATTATAAAAATAAAAAAAGTAAGCGAGTACTATAACAATTGAAGAAAGACAGCACCAAAAGCTTCTATTGATCTGCCACTAGCCACTAGCAGAGAAAAAATACAAATCATTAAATTTATGTTATTTTAATTTAAATAAACTTCAAATTGGAAAATTCAAATATCTAGACCTGCCGGAATTAAAAAATATTTCTACATAACCACAGCAACGACCGCAAACGTTCGGATACAATTAGCGTCTCTTAGCAAAGACAATGACGTCGACTTTGCTAAGTATCAAGACAATTACTCTACACACACAAACACAGACACACACACTACATTAATAAACTAATCTTGATTGAGACTGGCTGAATGACAATTGTCCAAGCCAAAACACACACAAAAAAAAACACAGCAACACACTTGACAACTATGTGTCAGACGTCACTACTGACTAGCTTCCCGACTAAACAAGTTAAAATTTGTTTCTAAATATGTACAATTGTATATGGAATCTTGTGGAATTTTAAGTTTTTTTCATGTTCCACTTCAAGAACAAGCAAAAGAAGAATTCTGCATATGAACAATAAACCTGACTTTACCAGAAAGTAGAGAACTGCCTCTAATTTTGTAAGTACAAGAATGGTCCTGAAACATTTTTTTTCGGCGAGTTTTCAACTAAATTTTAATTAACCTAAAATTTACACATTTTTTAGATATTCTCAACCTATTGAAATATTTTTTGAGATCTTCTAATGCTAAATGCATCTGAAGACAATTAGCAGCTCCTAGGTTATTATTTAGTAATTGATCGATCGTTACTTGATGGAAATTCATTTTATATAATAATAAAGCACTGAAAACTTTGTTTTCAAACTTCCACAAAATTTCTTTATTTTATTATCACTACAGCTGTTTCGGCAGAGTACTTTTCTCAAGTCATCTTTTTTTGGTATGCGCTTACACTTTATAGAATTCAACTGAATAAGTTGAGGAGAGGAGAACTGTTTGACTTAAGTTGGTCTTTCAGAACTATATTTTTTTATTTTTATTTGTTAATTTCCAAGATAGTTTAAGGCCTTTATTTTGAATGTGAAGAATATAAAATTGGTCATTAAAAAAATAAATATGGTCTAGAAAGTGAAGTGCGTACGTAAAATCTGTTTTTCTATTATTGAAAGCACTTTTGTATTCTGCTATACGTTTGTTAAAAGTTCTACCAGTTTGACCGATGTAAGTTCAATATAAGTCAAGGTAAGACCGACGGGCAGTCGCCACACTTAAGTTTGTATACACCACTGTGTAAGTGCTTTTTTTTTGCCAATTGTTGTTCTTTATATATTTGTTTAATTTGTTGTTTGTTGAGCAAAAGGGGCTGGGTTTTTTCTCTGGTGGTGGAAATACCAATTTTAGGGCTTTCTTATGTACATTTTGTTTTAAAATTTTTTTATTGTTTGCTCGTTGTACCCATTGTTTACTGCTATTTGTTTCTTTTTATTGTGCCTATACGTTACGGATATTGGACACTAACATGGCTATTCTAACTTTGTTGACTGCTGCCCTGAAAAGACCGGTAATGGTAAACCATTTTCGCAGGTTATGCAGCCAGGATATTCTTCTTCATCCTGGACCTCTTTTCCCATGTACTTTACCTTAAAATATGGTTCGAAGTGGGTCATATCGTTGTTCATTGTGCATTATATGGCCCAGGTATTCCAATTTGCGACGTTTTATGATTACGACTAGTTCGCGCTGTTTACCCATTCTATGTAGCACTTCTTTGTTGGTAACTCTGTCTATCCAAAAAATCCTCAACATGCGTCTATAGCGCCACATCTCAAATGTTTCGAGTCTAAGCTATTTGATTAATGATATTTAATTCTATTCTATTCTAATCATGGGAATTTCTGATCATCTATTTAATATGCTATGGTAGGCTGCCACTTTATTTCTACAGTATTTCATAAACCTACCCATACTGGCACGATATACACAATTCATCATCCCATTCTACACAATATAAGTTTGTAATTAATAATCACTTAGTTTGGTATACCTCAGAAACTAATAAATATTATACACATCCATTTTTAAATGTGAAAGCTGTTAGCGACAAGGTGATTTAATTTCCCCACTCTTATTTAAGCTCGTAAATAGAGGCAGAGTACAAAAAGCTCATGACAACGGTTATATTGGTTGGACTCTGCCTAATCCAGAAAAATAGTCAAGAGATGGCGACTAGGATGCTGAGTGGTAATCGATTAGCAGGTGTTAAGTGCTTAAGTCCCGCTCCTAGTTCAAAAAATTAAAGATTGATATACCTTTAAAATATCATCGTAAGACTAGTGGTGCTACATGGATGGCAAATGTGCTGCATGACTTAAAGAGATCAACAAGGTCTTGTAGTCTTTAAAAATATACTTCTTAGATCAATTCAGATCAAGCTTAGGCACATATCAACTGAAGAATTTACAATAACCCGAAAATCCGAAAGGTTACTAGACAGACTTTGCTAATAAGTATTTTAAGATTCCGTAGATTAGCCTGGATAGGCCATGTATAAGAAGTAATGGTGACAGAAATACGAGAACCATATCTACGGTATATCCTACAGAAATTAATAAGTAATATACTGCCTGGCTTTTCTTAATGGCTCCAAAAAAATATAAGCTCTATATAGTTTCACAACTCTTGATCAACAATTTTGAGACCAACAAAAATATCTTTACGTTACTTTTATAGAGAAGAAGGTTTTAGATAAAGTTAGGCATAACATTCTCATAGAATTCCCAAAGTAAAAAGGACTTGACAAAAATCGTATTCACATAGTGAGAACTCTCTATTAAAACCAACAGACTGTAGTAACAATAAATGGAAATAGCAAGGATACGCAGCAGATAAGCAAAAGAGTGGCACAAGGCTGTGTATTTTCACCATTACTATTTAATATATTTTTCGAGGAGTTATTTACACAATCACTTAACAACGGTACACACGGAATCAAGATAAATGGTGAAACTATAAATACCGTTCGTTATGCTGACGGTACAGTCATTATTGCTGAAGATGAGAAACAACTACAGACACAATTTAAACCAGTGTGGAATAGTTTGGTTTAACAATAAATACGAAGAAAATAAAAACCATGGTTATCAGTATGAGGGGTAAAGTCATATCAAAAATCCGGATAAAAAAAAAAGATATGAAGATCTAAATCGTGTTATAACCGTTTCAATTTGCTTTCACTTTGTTTCTATGTATATTGTGTTTCAGAATTTTCTTCTAATTTTGTCATGCTTTCTATTTTATAGTCTTACTGCATCTTTTAATACTGCATCTGCTAACACTTCCATATTATTTCCATCCATACATCATATATCCGGGGTAGTTCACATTGTCCTGTGAATGTCATTGTGTTTAAAAATTGTTCTTATTTTCATTGTGTGTTCCATTTCAACAATAACGTTTAATAAAATATAAACATGTAATTGTATAGGTTTTTATACAAACATTTACTTTTATTATTGAGATATTTAAAATTATATTAAATATTTATTGTATTCGATGGCTTATAATTAAATAACAACAGATTTGTATAATTATTTTAGATATTTCGTTGGAAAAGATGTAGTAGTCAAAGCTGTAAGACTTCTTCAAACAAATGACATAGTTGCAGAAAACTATGGTCCAATATTTCACAGAAAACCTTTAAAGGATCGGCAAAAAATTTTATCTTCCCGATATTGGTTTCAGTGTAAGTGCGAAGCCTGTACACATAATTGGCCCACTAAAGATGAAATGGAAAATATAAATCAAAGAGTAAGGTAGAGTATATTTCTTTTGTAGTTCCTCTTTTCATTTCTATTCTTTACTTTTCTCTTTTTCTTTTCTTTTCCTTCCTGTTCTTTTCACTTTTTAATTATATTGTATTTTCTTTTTACTTTTATTAATAGTATCTAGTACTCTTACAAAATTGTAACATATATAATGTAATATTTTTAGATGTCCTACAAAAAATTGTTCCAATATGTTCACTTTACCTGTTTCAACTTCATTAACGAATTGTACAAAATGCAATCACAATATTAATTTGGATGAAAATATTCGTTTACTAAATTGGTGTGAAGAAGAATATCAAAAAGCTTTAGAATATTTAGAAAATAATAAACCTGATAAAGTAGTGGAAATCTTGTGCGCAGCTTTGGATGTATTTCATAGGTAAGCTATAACTGCTTCTACAGCTATTCACTGAATTCAGTATATAACTGTCTATTTAATTAAGTAATTCATTTTGTGCTATATTGGTTAAATTTTGAGTTCCACTGAAAGTGACTGAAGTTTCTATATTGGCTATGAGTATAGTGGCCATGAGCAAATGTGCTCATAAGCAATATTAATTATTGTAATTTAAAAATAAAAAAATATTCACATGCAGCTATCAATAAAATAAACCTGCATCAAATAAAACAATAAAAATGGTTTAAATGTTAAAAAAGAGATTTTAATAAAAATGAATGAATATATACTTTCCGTATTTGTGATTATTCTTCTTTTTTCAATTAAAGAAGTCTGGAATAGTAAATTTATTTCAGTGATTAATAATGAATTAATAATAAATATAGAAACAATTTTATGTTGTATGTTTTCGATAATTATCATCATCATCAGTGGCATTACAGCTCGTCATGAGCCAAAGCCTTCTTCAGAACAATCTTCCATTCGCCCCTGTCTCTAGCAACTCTTCTCCTTGCTTTAACTCCGATAGATTTTAGATCATCCTCGATGTTATCTTGATACCTAAGTTTTGGTCTTCCTCTGGATCGTCTTCCCACTGGTCCTCTTCAGTCGAAAATTTTTCTGATCGTTGCATCTTCATCTCGCCTAACTACATGTCCTCTCCATCGAAGGCGTGCTAATTTAATACATTTTACAACGTCAGGTTCCCCAAAACTTTTGTATAACTCAAAGTTGTTGCGCCTATGTTTCCGATAATACTGTCAGAATACTCCCAAAATCAGTAAATAAACTATAATAATAATATTTTATATTATTCAATGGGTCTATAATAACCGTTGTTGTCTTAAATGGTAGAGTTTGAGATTCGTCCGTGATTTGTTAGAATGCGTGATATATGTGTATAGTCCATTTCCATCATATTGATAGCACATTATGTATGCAAATCCCTAAACTGTTGATACGGGTGACTCAATGAAAAATAGATATTTGTCAACAACTTTACAGAAGTATATAGGAAAACAATTTTAAATTGAGTATGACCACCAGGTATAAAGGTTGAATCAGAATAGAATACAATAGTTTTGAGGGTTACTAATCCCTAAATAAAGTTGCCAGTGTCGAAGTGATGGAGATTAACAGGTACTAATGAATTTGCAAGAAATGTAAGATGTTTATTTTATTGGTTATATAGGTATAAAATAATTTGTGGCCGTAACAGGTGCCGATTTTATAAAAAAATGAGTATTATTTTAATCAAATTCCATTTCATATTCACTGCTTTCTTCAGAATCTAAGGAATCTTCAACTCAAATGTTAATTATTACCGGTTCCAGCAGGGCATCAGTCATATTATCCAAATTCCACATGTTATTTACTTCCTTGTGAGCATGATTAACAGCATTTTTCCAATTTTATGGATTAAGGAGTTAATTTTGATAAGGAATGTTCTAATAATTGTTGTAAGTCTTCTAATTTAAAAGTTTTGTTGTTGCGTCCGACTTCACCCTTTACTTAAGACAATATATTTTCTATCGGATTCAGATCACAGTGGTATGGGGGTAAACGTAAAATAATTACATCACGTTTTAATGCCATTTCATCAATTATATATTTTTTATAAACTGCTTTATGTTGCCTTACAATAGGTAATAATTCCTTTTTTGTCGAATTCTCCTTGTACTCAATTGCGTGTTTATCCAACCATTCGATTATCTCTCCTTTTTTTCCATGCCGTTGTTGGCTATTTTTTTTGTTGGAATTAAATCCAACATTTGCTCAAAATATTCTTCAAAAACGTCAGCAGTCATTTCCTCGTGGTAATCTTTGGTTGATTTTGAGGTAAAACTTAATAATTCACCATTGGCAAAACCGTATTCGTTTCCAATATGAGTTATTATGAGTCTGCGTCCTTTTCCAACGGGAATATTGTTTATTTCAGTAGATAGACCTTTGATGAATGCCTGACGCGAACTTTTCCCTTCTTCTCGGCAGTTTTGAATAGTTCTTAGATAATCTCGTCTCCAACAGACAATGTAATCTTTTTCAATTTAAACGGATTTTCTTCTTAATGGTATATTTCATTAAAAAATGTTTTTTTTTCCAAATTTTTCCAAAAGGATTACAATTTATCAAAAGTTTTTGAAAACGAAACATGTGTACGGTAACAGGTACGAAACAGGTTACTACGAAAACAGGTGTAAAAAGCTTTGAATTACATGAAAATCATGGTTAAGTGTGATAAACTAGTGACACGAGGTTGATGTTATAGGGTTTAACGTATAGGGGATATACATCTTCCCTGCTCGAAAACAAAACCCTGCTCGAACTACAACGTTAAAGGGGTTGTATTATTTCATATGGTCAAAGGACCACCAAATATGTGGTGGTGACAAGTGGAAAAAACCAACGGTTTTTTCCACTTGCTTACAGGAAATTAAATACGATTTTGGAAAGCTTTCATCGCTAAGTACACCAATCAATAAGTGCACAATGTATCTTCCTGATGAGTCGGTGGTCTCATCCACATATATGTAAAAGTAATTATTATTACCTATTTCGGCTTTTATGTTGTGGATAACTGAGGTGTATAACAAATTGACAGTATTTATCTTTAGGGTTCGTTCATTGGGAATGTTTTGTTTGCAATATTTTTTTTAAAGAACTAAAGTTTTCATTAGATAATTTTGAAAGCAGTATATTAGAAGATACTAATGCACGACACAAGTCTTCGTTAAAAGTTTCTTGTTTGTTTGTTTGTTGGAACTTGACTGACAACACTTGGATACTAAAGGTTGATATTTTCACCGAATGTGGTTTTTACTTTTTAAGCTAAATGTTTCACGGTTCTGACATGCTGATCTATTTGAAATTTTTTTTTCAGATGAAATCTAAAACAGAATATAAATATTTTACAGTTGTACCCATTTTTAAAATCTAAGATTGTAGAAATAAATTAAAAATGAACCGTTTTTGCATAACAATTAAAATATTTAAATTAAATAAAATAAAAATCGGTGTAGTAATCTTCAAATGTCAAGAAATGACTGTGCAAGAAGGAAGAACCCCAAAATATTTACAAGAGGCTCTTGGTCTTTTCTGTTTACATTTAAAGAAAAAATACTGTGAGCATAAATTAAAAGCACTTAATTATTTAAGTCTAATATATAATATGTTTTTGTTTTTAGCAAGATTAAAGCAAACTATGCTATTTTTAGAAAAAAAAATGTAAGCGACCTTCCAGTAGACTATTGAATGATTTGAATTTTAAATAGATATCCTATTTTTTATTGCCATTAGTTTAAAAAATGCTTGAAAAAAGAAAAAATACATCGATTTATTGCGAACTAGCCTTGTATCGGTACTTTTCTTAAACATAATCTCCAACTTTAAAATATTTGTTTGTACCACCGTGTAAATTTTTAAAATAAAATAAAAAATAATACATATTGTACTTACGGTTTTGCCACAACATGAGCAATAAACTTTATCCATATCGATAGATAGCTCTTTGTAAGATTTTATCCAAGTTGAAACATTGCTTATTTTCGGCATTTTCAAAGCACAATAATTATTCACAATTAGAAATACACGATCGTCAAAATAAACTTTTTTACCTAGAGACTTAAACTGGTTTATACAAACCCTTAATTCCAGGATAAAACGTGGCGAAACTATAAGCCGCTGTCTTTTATTAGTTACTATACCAAGAATTTGAATACCAAGTGATTATAAAACAAAATTAAATATTGGCATTTTCATGCTATCTGTAGGTTTGAATATAAAAATATATAGTTAATACCAAATTTTCAAATTATGTGCATTTTATGCTCTCTTTTATAAAAATATGCAAAATTTGACATTTTTGCATTTTTTTATGCATTATATACAAAATATACAATTTGCATATTTACCTAAATCTACCTATAACTATGCCCTCGTGGAAAAAAGTTATGGGGTAAAAAATAAAAATCGCGTGTGTTCCTGTTTTTTTTTGCTTCGTTTTTTTTTAATATATTTTTGTCAAATTTTTTTTTTTTTTTTTCATTAAAAGGTGACTTTTAACAGAAAATTTAATTTTGAACAACTTTTTTGTACATATATATGTACTAAAAGTGCTTAGAATTAACCAAAATGCACCCATTGCCCATATGAAATAATAAAACCCCTTTAACGCTGTAGTTTGTAGTTACTTTTAGTTCTATTTTTTGTAGATAATCAATAACCTACTAATATCCAATAGATTATTTATGAGGAGACACTATAATATCTTTTTTATTTTAGAACCTTTCTATTATAAACCGATTGTACCTACTCTTGATACTTGTAATAAATAAAAAGTCGTGCGGCTTTTAAATTATTTCGCAAATAATAGAAGAAGTGTTAGTTCTGCACTTTGCTACCAATTTGTCATTTTCACGGAATAAAGAAGGGTCTGGAAATAACTTGTAATAATTCTTTAAATAACAGATCGAAGTGAGCACTTCGCCCTCGTCAGTATTCGTTCGAAATAAATAAAAGACCGAGAGTCTTGGGATTAATTCACTAATCATCGAACGGTCGAAGGGCACTGTTAAATCACATAATTGGCAACAATAAATAAAAATCCTAGAAAACTTAAGATTATTTCTCAAGCAGAAATAACACTTTGTTGGTAATTTAATATTCGACTGAAATGAGTCAAAGTAATAATAGTAAAATAATTTACTATTCTTGAATAGTAAATAATCCGTAGTGGTTACATTGCTGTCCGTTCACTATTATTGAAATAAAGAAAAGTCTGAGGGACTTAAAATTATTTCAAAAATCGTGAGACAGTCAAGGTTTAACACCTTGCCGACACTCCTACTTATTGAGAAAGAAGATAGCATCGATGTCGTATCAAGACTACAGGAACTTGAAATCTCCTAAATTGAACGTCGCATCTGCTTATAATGTCTAATAGGAATCTATTTACTCCGCTTTTCGTAGTTGTCACACTTACTTTCTGCTCTTTACATCAAATGAATGTGCAGTTTTGAGTAAATACATACACCGCATGCAACTAAATCCCCATATAACTATGGCTAAACTTCAGTCAAATAGAGGTACGATAGACATAATATGAGGTTGTCATAGCTGAAAGTGACTGATTTGCTCCCCTACATAGCTAAGTGCCGAAATTATTACGTGGCTGCGGCTAAAATTCAGTTATATAGCGTAAACTTCATTTGTAAGTGACCGAAAAATATCTACATGCTTAAGACGCCTATAAAATGACATATCAAAACTTGTATAATTTAACTTGTAGGTACTTAATTTATTTATATTTGCTTCACATTTTATTTACAGAGTGTCGACCCCACCTCATAAATCAACACAGTTGGCGCAGGAAACTTTGCAGCTTTGTATGGCGTCGTTTGGAAATGTATCAAATACTTTAAAAAAACAATAAATTATGTAAACAATTTTTGTATTTTATTGTAATTTATGTATTTTATGTAAAAAATTCGAATTAAAGAAATAAAAATAGAAATCCGAATTATAATTCAAATCGAAATGTATATTAAACGAACTTTATAGTAAATCTCTACTTTTCTCTAGAAATATCGAGAAAATACCAAGGCTACATATGCATGTCTAGTAGAGTTGCCAACGGTATTTAAGTGCTAGTAATCACATTTTTGCAAAATACTGTGTACCGTGGTGGAATGAACGTTTTGCTACAGCAATCCGTGAAAGTAAATCAACCCTAAACTGATACAAAAAGCATAAAACACACTCGAAAATAAAGTAAAGATTAAAATGCTAAAAGCAAGGGCTCAGCTACCTGTCAAAACTGCTAAAACATTTTCATGGTATAAGTACGTATCGGAAATTAATAACAATACCCCTATCTCTGATCTGTGAAACAAAGCTAGAAAAATATTTGGTTTACACATTTTAGACAATTTTACGGGTTTAAAAAAATAATTCTATAACGTCGAATAGTGATATTGCAAATATTTTTGGGAGAATCTATCCAGGCGACTAATCGAATTAACAGTATACAGCCAATTTTCTTAAAGCCAAAGAATTTGCCGAACAAAACCACATACTTCCGTTAGAAGTTCACAATAATTCCTTAAACCATGCTATTTTTTCCAAGAGATAAACTCATCTCTTCTTAACCTGAAGGATTCTAGTCCAGGACCTGATGATATTCCTTCAGCATTTCTGAAACATCTTCCTGTTTCAGCCATATCGTATCTCTTATATATATTTAACAAAATTTGACTCCACCACCAATGGCCAGCTATTTGGTCAAAGGCAATGGCATTCCTCTCCTAAAAACTGGCAAACCTAAATATGATCGACTTATATCTCTGACAAAAAATGCGTTACTATATTTTTTTATTTAGAACGTTCATCTACTAAAACTTGGAAGTAAGAGGTCTCCCAATAAGAATGTTCTGATGTTTTTCTTAAACGAAAACGGTAAAAATGGTTGTGAATAAAAAAAAATTATTGCAAAATATAATAGATAACAATTATATTCCGAATAATACATAATTCAAATATCCACTGCGACTACGTTTGCAGGAGCGAATCCGATGAACCAAATTTTCGGCCACTTTGTGCAAAATATCCGCATTAATCTCACACATGGTGTGCTCTATTTTCCCCTTCAAGTCCTCAATAGATTATGTTTTGTTCACATAGACCAATTACTTAACATAGCCCCATAAAAAATAATCCAACGGTGTTAAATCGCAGCTTCTTGGAGACCAAGCATCTGGTCGAAGTTGCTAAATTCTCCTGGAATCTCTGGCATCAAGAGAAATTAATGTTTGCGGGATTTTTTCCTTCAATAAATCAATGGTTGGGGCAGTAGCGTGACATGTGGCACCGTCTTGTTGGAAAAACATGCGATCCAAATAAATTTCATTCAACTGAGGCCACAAAAAATCCGTTGTCATCGTTCTATACCTTTCACCGTTGACAATTACACCGTGTTCGAATAAATAAGGTCCGATGATGCCACCATGCCATAAACCACACCAGACAGTGACTTTGTCTCGATGCAAAGGCTTCTCAAGAGTCTCATGTGGATTATTTTCACTCCAATAATGACAATTTTGCTTATTCACAAAGCCGTTTAACCAAAAATGAACTTCGGAAAAGATTGTTTTTTTGAAAAAATCGCCATCATTTTCGAGTTTGTCTGGAGCCCAATCAGCGAACAAACGACGCTTATGGTGGTCAAGTGGCTTAAGTTATTTAGTCAGAACAATCTTGTAAGGGTGTAGGTCTAAATGTTTTCTCAAAACTCGCCAAGTTGTCATTCTGGTGAGTCCAAGTTCTTGAGAACGACGATTTACGGACACATTTGCATACTCCGCTACACTGGCTCTTACAGCAGCAATATTGTCCTGACTTCTTACATTTCGGCGTCTAGTTGGTGGTTTCGTATCGTGCAGAGTAAATTCACGTTTAAACTTTTCCACGATTGGACGACTTACACGCAAATCAGGACGATGATTTCATCCATAACTTTCACGTAATGCATGATAGGTATTCACAAAAGAACGATTATTAGCATAAAATTTTAGGATAATTTCCAAACGTTGTTTAAGCGTATATCTTGCCATGGTAATTTGTTAGGATATACTAAATACAAACGTCAACAAGTGACAGTTTTACCATTTTTAAAATGGCCGCTATGACATTTCAAAAACAGGATGTCCCTATTGGGAAACCCATTACAACACTTTGAGACAACTTTTCAGATGATCTTAAGATCACTACTTTGTCTTTATCCAAAACTTTTTAAACAACATATCTTTTCAAGTAAAAATAAGTAATATTTTTTCAAATATTTATCGTTTGGAAAATGGTACAGCCCAAGGATCCGTGCTCATTTCATCAACATTATTTCCAGTGGCAATAAATGATATAATCAAAATAATGAATAATAATTTATCTTTTAAAGGCAAAAATATCTCCTTAATGTCCTCAATTCTTCAAAACTTTTTATTCTCTCGAAAATTGGTCTCACCCTATAGGTTTTCAATGTTCAATAGACAAATAAATACGAGTATTCTCTTCAAGCTTCTTGCCTTCAACCCTGAGAATCTATGAGAAACAGCTAGAGTTTGGAGATCATCACAAATTCTTGGGTTTAATCTTTAATTCAAAGCTTACATGGAAAAATCACATCTCATAACTCAACCTTTCCTTTAATAAAAGATTACATATGTTAAGATCTTTTGTAACAAAAAATGGGGATCAGACCAATCCACTCTACTTCTTCTGTAATTGCTAATCAATTTCTTGTTAAATCATTAAATTTTATTCCTAATAAAAGTCTTAGATTAATTACAGGGGCTTTTCCAACTTCCCCGGTACCCAGAATTTATGCTATTTTAGGAGAACCACCGCTACATCACCGCCGCATGTTCCTCGCTCTATCACATGCAGCCTCAGTCGCTTGTAATATTTATAAACCAATATATCAAAATTATTTTACAAATATATATATATATATATATAAACAAATTACAACATATTCACTATACTAAAAAACCATGTTACGAAAGAATTAAATCCATACTTCAAAACCTAAACACTAATTTTCCGGAGGTTTTCTCCTCGAAAATTAAATACCCTGAGGATTGATTTGTTTAGAGCAGCAAGTTCTAAAATAAAAATAGCCATTATGATTGCCAACTTCCGTAGGGAGACGGGACTCTAAGAAGAAGAAGAGCCTTGACTGATCGATTTACCAATCTGTGATACATCTCTGGCTTATTTCGATAAATCCAGTACAAGCAATTCCTGATTCTGCTAAAGTTGGAAGCCGTCTTAGAAAAGTACTCCGACTACTATAAAATCAATACAGATGCATCTAAGTTCGAAGACAGAGTGTAACTTACAACTAACAAGCTTACCTTAACAAAAGCCCTGATCATAACAGATTTCCTTAGTTCTCTAAACTCGTTAAAACATATTTTTCCGAAACATTCTTTTGAAAAGTTACTAAAATACCAGCTGCCCCAAGCTCATCAACATAAAAGAAGAGTTCAATTTTTGTGGGTACCCTCACACGTCGGAATCATTCGGAATAACGGGAAACGAAGAAGCTGACAGGACTGCAAGACAGACAATTTTAAGCGAATATTCGAAGCCTACATACAAATGTGTTTACAGTGATTTGAAAGCTTATTTTAAAAATAAAGTGTTGTTTTGTGGCGAAATGAGTAGTCTCAAACTAATTCTAAGCTGAATAAGATCAAGAATATTATTTCCCAGTGGATTCCATCGTCGCTAAACTGACATGAACAAATTGTGCTTGCGAGTCTACGTCTAGGACATACCAAGTTAACACACTATTACCTTTTCACAAAGAAAAACCTACCCATATGTATTCAGTGTAACGTTCGATTAACAGTTGAAAACGTTTTAATAGATTGTAGTAAATATGATCAAGAAAGACATCGTTACAATATTTTGAACTCTCTAACAGAAGCTCTAATATAATTAAATATTTAAGATTAGTAGTAGTAATTAGTAATCTGTAGTTATACAATTTTGTTATTTATATTTTGTTCCGTCGATAATATCATTTGGTGGATTCGACTTTTTTCTAATAAAAAATATCCCAAATCCTTCTCTGTATGTATGTATAGCGTTAACAGGCCTCTTAGGTCTATTGCTGGATGGATAATTTAGATCGTTTTCTATTCTTAGCTAACAGCTTTCAATCTCTGATTCCCATCTCTCTGACATCTGCCATCGCTACATCTCTCCATTTCTCTTTCTTGGTCTTCATCTCTTTTTTGCCCTCAGGTACTCTCCAAGTAATATTCTTGACTAATCTATTACCTGGCATTCTTTCTAGATGACCGAGCCATTCTAATTTACGTTTTTTCATCAGTTTTGCTATTGTAGGATTAGCATACAAATGGTACACTTCTGCATTAGTTCGTCTTCTCCATTCTCCCTCTACTACTTTTCCACCAAATATTCTGCGAAGTATCTTTCTTTCCCATACTTCCAATGTGTTCTGTATGGCTTTGTTCATAGTCCATGTCTCGGCAGCGTATAGCATTGTGGGTCTAATTATAGTTTTGTATACTCTTATTTTTGTATTACGAGATATATCTTTGGCCTTAATTATTTTGCTTATGGCTCCAGCATACCTGTTGCTCTTGATCAGCCTCAGGTTGATTTCAGTTCTTTCCTTACATGTCTGATCAATAAGAGTACCTAAACATATGTTCATCCATCTTCTCGAATTCTACAACTGACTCATCCTCCACCTCCAATATAAAGGATCCCCTGGTGTTTATTCCTTTTTTGCTTGAGATCTCCATGTACTTCGATTTATTAATATTAACTTTCAGTCCCATTTTAGAGCTTTCCCGAATCAGTCTGTTTGCTATATTTGATAGTTCTTTTTCCACTTCTTGCAATGAGAACCACATCATCAGCGTATGCTAAGCATTGGTGCTCCTTCTATAAAATAGTTCCGGACC